GCACAGGGTGATTTTTAGGAAGCAAGGAGCACCACACTGGCACTCTAGCCCAAGCTGCCACTGGAGCTCCTACCTATGGTCAATGGACGCTGTTACCTGCTCCTCCTCCTATCTCATAACCAGGGGAAGGTGAAATAGGAAGCTCTTACAAATGGACCTGGGGCTATTGGCATAGAACAAGCAAACAGGAAAATCAGGGAATTGAACAAGGATTATTACATGTGGATCATGAGAAATGTGTCTGTAGAGTAACAATTTATTTTCCATCCATTATTTAGTACAACCCTGATACTACCACTGCTCTTCCAAGTCATACATTTCTAGTCAAAACTGTAGTGATGTTTCTTTCCAAAGAACACTTATTTGGAAAACCTCTATTAGCAACAAGGCTTTCATTTGGAGTTAGGGATGGAGCTTTTTAAGCAACAACACTCTTTCTGTTTTCAAGCATTTATTCAGATTTTCTACCCTGTGTTCTTCCATTACAGATTGAGTTTATACTCCAAAGCGTAATAAAATATTTTTTTAGAAATTTAATAAAAATGGTCAGCATATCCTTCAAAGAATAAACAAACAAGGAGTGCAATGCACTCTCTGATTTTCTGCCTTGTAATGGCAAATGTCCTGCATATGCAAAATTCTGTCTCCTGCTCAGGAGGCTGAAGTATATAATTCTGAGAGCTTTGGAAACAGGCAAAACCTAGTTTCTGATATACCTGTGCTTTGGAGACTACAAAAAAGGTCTACATGAGATTTTTTTTCTGTCATAGGGTCCATCAGCATAGGGCTAATGCTGATGTCTTGCAAAACTAATCATCTCCTCTTAAGCCAGAGATCCATCAATATTTTTCTACAAGTTAACTTCTAGACTTTGATGCTCTATGAAATTTCTCAATAACAAACCATTGGCTCCTGAATAGAACATGCACATTCACATGTTTACATTAAACAAGGCATGTTTAATACAACTGTTGAAACTTTGCATTTCTAACAACTAATTATTAGAAGTACACAGACTTATGGCTTTTCTCTCTGCAGATGAAAATGCAGAAACCTAGCAAATGTTTGCAAAATGATCTCAAACTATTTTCAGAACAATTTAATTAGTTTTCTATTCCTCTGAATATTTTCAAATCCTATTTTAGAAAGCTACATAAGCATTATTTATAACCATAGTTTTTCTCATTAAATAAAATTTAGTCATTCATCTTTTTATATCAGATAAACTTGCAGAGAACCTGGGATTCTTCAGGGTCTGTTCCAGTGGGCTTTTTCCAGTTTAAACAGCTGTGCTGTTACAATTTCCTTTTACATGTGACTTGAGGGTAACCATTTGCTTCACAATCAAGAGCATAACACCTACAAATGTTCAGGTAACCAGATTGTTAATTGCTACCTTTGTTTTATGCTTCCTTGTATAAAATGTTCCTCCTGAAACTGAATGGTTCAAAGGTTCAAACATTATCTTCCTAACTTTTCTCAGGTTACTCAGTTTTTACTTTTCCCTCTACTCTCTGTCCAGGGATATGACGGAAAAAGGTTTGCATACACCATGTTCTAGTCTAGTCTCTTTTGCCTTTGTGGAAATCAGTGTTGAATGTTTTGTTCAGAGGCAGCCAGCAAAAACTGAGTTTGATTTATAGCAAAGTCATCAGTAACAAATAAAGAAATCTTATGTTTGTAATAAACTGAATAAAATAAATAATGGTTGAATAAACTGTATAAAATACACCTTATTAGGATTATTTGCAATACTTAAGGTTAGTATTTGGTTTAATTAGTTCTTATGCATATGTCTGACTTTCCCCACTGGTAAGTTACTTTTGCTTTCACCTCTCCTAATATTTCTACCCAGTACATCTGAATCCTCAAATTCCCTGAAGTTTGTCTTTAGATAAAATTAGAAGCATAACTGCTTAATAAATGGGAGCATTCCTCTGTAAATATACAATACAATGTCAGCACTTCTGCCATCTGATTTCTGAGTGGAATTTAATACATGAGCTGTGAATAGCTTATGACCTGTCCCATAATGTGGGATTCATCTAAATGTAGATACAGCTGAGCCAGTCCCTCATTATAATCTGAATAGACGGATGAGAACTTTCAGGGTTCACTTCACGCCGAAGTAGACATATGGCCTGCCTACTTTTGTTCATTTGTATCCATGTAAAACTTGGAGAAATTGCTGATTTTTCTCCATTATATTTTGTGAAGAAGCTTAGGCTGATTAGCTCAGATGCCTATGTCCATCACAACCAAACTCTCACACTAATTAGGATTGCCAGAGATGACTTATTTTCTCTGAAACATGTCTGGACTTTTATTCAAGTTTCTTCTTGGTCATGCTGTTCTCAAGTGAAGGCTGTTGAAAAGTGGCCAATAAATGACCAAAATTCTGGACTTCCCTCTAGCTTTTTTGGAAGTAGCCCAGACATGCTGCCAAACTCATTTGTTCCTGTGGAACTGCGTGAGGGTCAAGAGGTCTTTAGAAATCCATTTCCTATGACTCAGTTTATGACCCTGATATTCTAAAAGTCAAGGGAAATGCTAATTTATTGATAACACAAGAGAGAATATCCAATTCAGGTGTTCTGTTATGGACCACTTGCTTGACCTGGGTTTAGACACAGAGCATAAATAATTCTCCACTGACACTGTGTCGGATTGTCAGTGAAGTCTATGAAGATGAAGCATCATTAACAGCTGCAGTCAATCATGAAGAGACATATTTACAAAGATCATTTTTTGATTAAACACTTTTTTTCTGCCTGACATAGATAATTTTTTGATTAAACACTTTTTTTCTGCCTGACATTCACACACTGAAGTCAGCAGTTCTGTTTAAAGTCTAACATGATGTGTGGGTTACCTCCTTGTGCTGATAACGGTCAGCGGCTGATGTGTCCCCAGAAGTTTTGTCAGTTTGGAAAGAATTTCTGGAACTCTGTGAAACTACTCAGCTAGTCTATACATTTGGAGGTTGCTGCTAACCATCCCTGGCATATGAGCTAAACATAGCTGCGTTCAATAATGTGCTGTTCACAAAGAAAATGGGAACACGGAGGATGATGTGGCACGTCAGCACACATGATGAGAAGGCAAAGGTCACTTTGCAAGGCATAAACTATGAGCAGCAAGGCAGGTGACAGCAGCTCTGATGACAGCATCCTCACACTCAGGGCTGACATATCTGCCAAAGGTGGACTTGGCAGATGGCCACACATCACAGGAAGCAGTATTTTGCATGGGAACAGACTTCAGAGTGCTGTTAAAAAGGGCTTCAAGTCTCACTCCTGAAAACTAGGCTCACTTTACGAGTGCTCTTACGAAATTATATGCTACTAAGATAATGTTTAGGAATAACATGGTTTTGATATGAGTCTATTTTTGCTTTCTTACTTACAAATTAATATAAGCATGACATATCCCTAAAAATAATTATAGTAGCCAAGCAGTCTATGTAAGAAGAAAGAAACTGGAAATTTCTTACAAGATTAACAATTATTAACATTAATCATTAAAATTCTATATCAGTTATATAATCAAACAATTAGCAAAACAATCTGAAGAGACTCTGAACCATGGAAAATCTTGAGTAAGAAAAATGCAAGAAATTCTAATAGATATCTTTTAAAAATTCAGCTGGCTTATTGTGTTAACGACAAACAGTGATCACAAGGTACAACTGGTTGAAAGACCTCGACTCTAAAGCACACCAAACAAGTCTAAAGTTGTATCCATTTCAGTATGGGTTATCAGTAACTTGGTTAAACCCAGCATACCTTAAAACCTTGCAGCATACTAACACTCTTTTTAAATTTAAAGTTTACATGCAATAGTAGTAGTTCACTGACATATTGTTTCTGTGCATTTTAAGACTTGCAATTTGTAGTTTATTTGTTAATGCTGTGAATTTCTTGAATTTAAGATTGTATAAATAATTTTGACAATTAGCTTATTTTAATTACTTTAAAGCAAAATTAACACCTATGAAAGGTAAAATATAAACATTTCTTACAGAAATTTGCTAGTGATTGCTACAAATTGTTCTAGAATTCACATGGTCTTTTACTACTCTTAATTATTTTAATTAAGATTTTTTCATGTCAATTAGAATTGGTTCAGAATGGTAAATTCCACCCCTTCTGTGTCTCTCAAAGTAGGAAAGCACACATGTTCTTAAGAGGGTTTTTTTGCATATCGAGTATACGTAAATAAGGAAAAGAGCTTCCAAAAGTAATTGAAAAGGGGCATAATTCTGTGAAGTCAAAATTAACATAAAACCAATGTAGACCCCCCCTTTTTTTTTTTTGAGCATTAATTATCTCAGGAAAATTGGAACATTGATGACATATGCCAGTAAAATAATCAAAATACTAAAGAAGAAATGGGATTTCTATAATCATACATAGTATGACTAAGTAAAACAAAAAAGGGAGAAATCTATCCTAGTTTAAAGGTAAGACATGAGAAATAACACCTCTTAACCTGAAAAAAATACCCTGGATTGTTTGCCATTGAATAGTTCATACAGCACCTAACACTGTCTTCATTCTCACTTGATTTGCCACAACAGAGCTTTCTTCTTTAGGCTCTGTAAATGTTTAGTATTTCTCAGGAAATTTCTTGGAGATGGGACGTAGCATTCCATTGCTCTGAAACTTTCCCTCTCTGAGGGTTGCAGTGAACTGTAAATTAGTGAAGCTCTGCATGTCTCAAATTACTGCGGGAAATCCACAAGCCCTGGGACTGAACATGGCCTGAAACTTTATTGCATGTCACTCGGAAACATTCCATTTTTCCCTTCTGCATTTCTTCTGACTAACACTCAGGTAGGCATCAATTTATGGTCTATCAGAGTGTCTGAAAGAGCTATTCCGCCCTCAGTAAGGGAGAGGATATTCCATGTTTAATGGAGTACATAAAACGCTGCTTTGTGCCCTCTCGAGCCTTCCATGGAAGCTGTGGCTCAGTGTAACTGTTGGGAGTGTACTTACTGCATTGAAGTTGGGGAAGAGATTCACTGCTGCAGCAGTGTCCAGAGGAAATGGGAGGAACGGCTTAATATCCAGCGATGGCTGCAAGGGCGGTGCAGGAGGACGCACAAGGGCTGGAAGAGCAGGGCTCTGGCATGTACCACCTGCATGTACAAAGACACAGAGAGCACTGAGCAAGATTAGCAGGATGGGGATAAAAGCTAGCACACACGCACACACAAAAAGGAACAATAAAAAGACTACATTGGATCAAACAAATTCATTTTGATCTGTCCAAAAATTATTGCGTTACTGAAAAAAAAAAATAAAAAATCACAGCTGACTCAGTGACTGAGTTGGTTATAATTCTTTGCCAGCAATTGCTTCAGGTTTTAGTCTGTCATGATTAGAATTACCTTATAAACCATTTATTTCCATGGATAATCTGGAACAATCATTCACCATATGTCTAACTTCCCCTGAGAGCTTCAGCTAGTCTCATTCTCTAATAATTTCAGCGCTTCATCCCTACCCTGTTGCTCAACCCTAGAAAGGCAGGTTACTCAAAAAGATAAAGAACAACTTGCTGTTTAGCTCAGCAAAAGTCATGATATTTGCATATTTCTGATTTTTTAAATTAAATGCTCACTCACGGAGCCAACAGCTTCCGCTTCAACCTAAACCACACAAACACAACGTACCTTGCTGCCTCAACAGTTGATCAATACATATCTAAAAATAACAGTCTCAAGGAGCCACTGAAATTGTGTTTATGGGAAGGTGCCGATGAACACTTTCTGCTCTTTGCAAGGGGAGGACCTGATTCAGACTGTGCAGCAGAAAGCTCCTCCCAGCTAACCACCAGCTCTGTGGGAACATAATGCAAATGAAGAAATCCCCTTGCATACCAATAAGGCACTACCTGTTTGCAGTGGACCCTATTTTGCCTATTTCTTTGCCCCTGGCCACAGACATCTACAAGCTGGAAGGATCCAAGTTCATTCTCTGCTTTCAGTGTCTCCTATATTTTGGTTGCACTCCAAAACATCAATTCCCTGTTAATTAAAGACTATTTGGATCCTAGGAAACTGTTAAAATATGCCAGTGTTCTTCTAATCTGAGAGGCAGGCAACAGACTGTAAAAACCTGCTGGTAAGAGTCCAAGAAACACTGAAAAAAAATGAAAGGGGAGTTTTACCCTACTCACTGAACAGAGACACAAGCAGACAGATCAACAGAGGGAGAGATCCAAAATCTGTTTCTTTTTTTCCCTCTCATACGTACAGACATTTCATTAAACAATTTTCACACATCCTTTAAGAGCGCAAATATAAAGTAGTCAGACTGATATATAAAATCTCTCCATATTTGGCCAGCAAATCTGCTAACAAGGTTTGTCATGTTATACATCTCATTGAGGGCTAAAAACAAGGACTTAATTAACCAGTTGTAGAAGATCATCCAAGTTGTGCTTCAAGGTATATAATCAGCTGGAGCCAAATTTTGAAGACTGCCCTTTTTTGCCAACTTTCAACTCCTCTGTGAAGTGTTTCACTAAAAATCACTAGTAAATTAAAGGTAGTGGATTAGGGGTCACTGCAATCTCGTGATAGTTTTTAATCCAAAGAATAACTTCCATTTTTGGGGTAGTTTCTACATTGTACCTCAATGTAAGTGTATAAGAAATCAAAAGTCTGAATGCAGCGGCTGAGGATATAGGCAACAGAAAAGCAGAGTGCAAGCAGCATAGAATTATCAAGTATTTGACTGACATTGCTTTGGCAATTGCTACATTCCCATGACATTATTACAAAAACACTGTACAAATAAATCTAACAGGTCAGAATGATGATAAGGTAGTGTTGAACATGCCAATCATACTATCTCAGAATAGGAAAGACCCATAAATGTACTTCTTAACATGCTGTAAATACTTAGCTTTACTTATATAAAACTTTTACACATCATGAAAGGAAGAAGTCACTCTTAGTAAAGCAAAAAAAAACATTGCACCTGAGATGTACAGAATTACACAGATATTTCAAGGTGAGCATTTGCCTGGCAACAGCAAAGAATTTGAGGCTAATCAAACATTCTGTAACTCACAAATGTAAATGTAAACTGGACTGAGAAATGTCACCTGTGCTTGGGGACACAGCTCATTGGGTGTATTATCTCAGTACTACAGAGAAGAGCTTCACAGGTTCAGATTACCTAGAACAACATCATTGGTATCCCAAACTCATCTAAGATACCAAGGCATGGAGGATGAAATATTTCTATTCTGTGATCCTTTCCTGTGGCATGACTCGGCGCTCATGCACCTGCTGCTGCCAGTGCGATGCAAAGCCATCTGGGGACAAGAATGAGCTTTAAATGGAAAAATCCAGCCAGCTCTGCAGGACCTTGGCTGGGACTCAGAGCCTCTGGAACAGAGTTTAAAATCTACCACAGTCCTGGCTACAGTGGCACAGAAAATTAGTATGTTCAGGAGCACAGCTGCTCTCTGTTTTTTCAATAGTGTCAGACGTGTTCCTAAATGATGGAGCATGTGAGAGGCATCATGAAATCTGAGCCTTTGCTTAAAAATATTCTCTAATGTTTACAGCTGCAAAAAGTAGCTTCTCTTTCCATTTAACATGCACAGAGTTGTAGTCTAGAATCTGCAACAGAAAAACTGAAGCAATGGCAGGCATTTCTGTGACAGCTTAGCTTGGACAACCTTTGAGAATGCCAATGTTAACTATTTCACACCTAATCCATTAGCAGAGGGATGGAGAGGGATAGAAGCTCACTGGGAAAAGTTCTTGAGGACTGTACACAGATAAATTCCAAGTGTTACAGAATGTTGCATTGCAGTGAAGAACCATAAAATTTGCTTATGACATTTTTGGTGTTGTGTCGGATAAGTTTCTCCACAAAGACCTTCATAGCATACCCTGAGCAGATGCAGCACTGCTGATCAACAATGAGGGTGAAGGTTCAATGTCAGCCTTTCTATAAGCTTTCTACCAGCAAGATTTGGAAAACATTGGCCAAGAAAACTAGCAAAAAAATCCCGCAACACTGATAGGTTTTGTCCACAGCCTGTGCCTGATGCTCAGTATTATTAATATTATTACCTGAAGTTCACATAGATAACCTTGTCTTCATGAGGAGCATACCACAATTACTTAAAATGGCAGGATAATGATTTTCTAATTCCAGTCTTACAAGCTAGTGATGTTAGAGTCTCATCTCTTTTTAAAGAGGAGAATCAGATTCTAAATGAGAGATGAATGTTCCGACATTTGAGAAATTCACGTCAATACTGTTACCCAAATTTTCTTTGTAGGGAAACCAAGAATAATACAACTTCAAAGCTTAATTGGCTCAGCATTTTGACCAAGCTTGAAGTAATCATTTGTTTCTTCAATTTTCCGACAATTTAAATCACAGGCAAGGTAATCACTTATAGATCCATCCATCCATGCTATACATCCAAAGTAAGCGTGTGCATACAAGTTTGGGGAAAAGCTTACAACAAACCTTTGCCCCTTCCTAAATCACACTGAAACCGTTTGCACAGGGATGCAGTTCTGTGTCTCCAGCAGGGACTAGATATTTTGCCCTACCACTGGGTAATCTGGTTTGCACTACAGCACCATATTCTGGGCACAGACAGTCCCCGTGCTACAAAGCCAGGTGCACAACATGAGGTCCATGCTCTTGGTGACACAGCCCAGTCAAGTGGGTTCTCCTTCTGAAACCACTGGTGATATGAACTTCATCAGCACAAGACCTTTCTTGACCAAACCAAGGGATTATGACAGAAACAGATAAGGAGATGATTCCTGCCCATTGTGCCTCAAACTGTCCATTCCATAAGGAATTAGCACATGTTATTTGTTTTGAGAATGAATGGGAACAAATACTGGTGTCAGTCTTTTCTCCTGCTTCCCCGTGCCCCATTTTTACTTTAGATACCATGTTTCACTATGGAACTAAAAATAGATTTTAAAATGAGGATCATTCTTAAAAAAAAACAAAAAACAAACAAACAAAAAACTGTGTGTCATTAAAAGTGCTAAAGTTTTAATCTTATCTTAACAATTTTTTTTTGGTGACAATTCTATACAAAAAGTTAACAGATTCTGGGGAAAATATTTGCTTTCAGCAAAATAGCACTAACTAGAAAGAAAGTTTCCCATGTAAACTTTTGTGCTCAGTTCACCTGAAATTTTCCTCAGACCAGTATTAGGTGAAGAGTATAAACAGCTGTAAGTACTGACCCTAAAATCTGCATTAAGAGAGTCACAAAAACTGAATATGCACAAAGGAAAAGAAACAAAATAGCTCTAGAATAAGCAGACATCATAAAGCAGGGTGATTTTTAATACAGGATAATAAATAGCAAGATTTCTTGATGTTTTTCAAGCAGGCCAATATCCCCATTCTTCAGGCTCCCTAACAAACAATTTAGCAACCACCTATTGTTATATTTTGTGATTTGGCAATAGAAGAAGTTATGTTACATCTTTCTCTGTATAGTCTTTCCTCTTGCATACCTTCATTCCCAATCCTTCAAGTTTAAACTTAACTGCAGATTTAGTTTCCAGAAAAAGAATCACTAGACGCATTATCAAATAGTCTCTCCTAAGGAGGAATCTAGCTCAGCTTTTGCAGACACAAAAATGTAGATAATTTTTTGCAATGCATTTGAAACTTGGAGGTATGTAAACTGGGCAGAAACTCTAAACTAATACCCCATTAATCTAACTCTTTTGCAGTTCTTCCATCACTAACTATTACCATCATAAACACTGAGTGAAAAAGCAAATCTCTGCAGAATTTTATTTTCATTCCTTCATTACTTTGCAATTTTTTCCTTCTGTCCATGTGCACAGCTATTTTGAATACAGCAAAGACACTAAACTGATGTACCCTTTCCCTGCCTTCCTAGAGTCTGGATTGGCTTTCAGAATCATAAAGATATTTCCATGTTTTACAACCCATCTCACACCTCTCTTAATATTTACATGATAACTTGTCTGAGGTCAAAAAAATGCACACATTCTGCCTTGGCAAAAGCTCAGAGAACTTTTCAGATGGTATGACTCAGTGGAGAAGCTGGGAAAGTACCACACATTTCCAACTGAAAAGTTGGCTTCTAGGAGGCTTTAAA